GGGGGGGGGCAGAAGGGAGATGAAATGGAAACCTTTCAAACCTTTCTCTGCTATAGGAAGATCTAAACTTCTAAACTTTTCTCCAGGTTTCCTGGACTTAATAACATAAATATCTTTATCTAGTATCTACAGAAGAAACATAATTTTGCTTTCACAATAAGATAAATATCTACTCTATCTACTCGATCCAATATCAGACACAATTTTTTCTATAGGTTCTCAATTCTCAAGCAACAGATAAAATCAAAATCAGAATTTCTTCCCAGCTATTTTCTCAATATGCACCATATTAAAGACGTAATCAAAATAACGTTAGGGCTGCCAAAAAAGTCTCAGGAAATAAGATCACAGGAATTAAAGTTCCGAATAAAATATATTGGAAGAAAAAAAAAGCTTTAAGGACAATGAAGTCAAGCCTGAGACGTTTTCTTTGGACTTATCTTCTATGCATCTGCATATTGAATATAGCCCGCCCCTTTTTTATATTTAATTGTATAAACACCCTTTGGTACCGTGCATTTTCCACCATAAAAGGACTTTTTTTCCTTGGACGTTTTTGTATAAAATTATACTGCAGAAACCAGAACAAAATTCCTGAAAAAAAAGTCTTAACATGGTAGGACTTTATTTCCAGAGATTTTTTATATCAAGGACTTCTTCTCAAAGAAATATTTTTGCGGCTACCCTTTATCCCATGTATCTGTATCCCACGAAATATTAGAATACTGCAGGTTTGTTAATTTGACTGCAGCAGTAGTTTATATTAAGCATTTAGACAGTAGAACTATAAATAAACCATTTATACTGTGTATGTTTATTTTCTTTTACGAGTCTAAAAAAATCGAATATACTTATACTTATACCATACCTGTGTCCGAATTTAATGAATTTGAGCCGCGTCTTTAATCCGCCGAAAACCGGTTTCAATTGAGCGCCGGCTGGAACCAACCATATTTGAGTCGTTGCTTAAATTTAAGCCGCGGCTCAAATTCTTTAAACTCGGCCTCTGTTTGTCGTTTTTACAATTTCAAATCAAATCAAATCAAATTATATATTTAGCCATAAAATACATGTATAGATGGATATTTATAATTAACATTAACAAGTTGAAATTACAGTTTATGGCAGGGAGACGGAACTAGCCGAAACTGTTTTCAGTCGGTCTCCCGTACAATCAGTCTTTAATCAAAAAAATTAACTTGATAAGTTTCATAAAAATTGATTTAGAAAGGTTGGAGTTTCTGGCAGAGAAAGATGTGGGTTCCTTTAAGAAATCTGGTGGCTAAAAATTAGCATTTGAAATAAAAGGAAAAATGTAACAAAATAGATACATAGATACATTTTAGACAAAAATCGAGTTTTTTAATGCAGTAGCGTACTTACACTATATGTCAAATTAAGTATAATTGCTCTTCGGGGGGGGGGGGGAATTAAATGTTAAAATGTCAAGATTATTAAGAATTAGATGTTAAAAAGTAAGACATTTCTTTTTTAATAAAATGATATATACCTATTGCATTGACAACAAGAACATTTTAGAAATAAGAAATTAGAATATAAACAAAGACAAAATTTTTTGCAGAGTAGCTTTTCTAAAGATTTTAAAAAAGTAAATTCTTTTTCCTCTAAGGGTAAAACTATCTTTATGTTACTTAAATAAATTCAGTTTCCCACAGATCTTTGTAGTTAATGTAAAATGAATGACTACAATGTAGGATATAAAACAAGGTGAAAGCTGAAAGGTAGGAAATGAATTGCCTATATTTGATGGAGTTTGTAAATGCCAGAAATGAGTGGAAAATGCTAATCAAACCCAAAAAAACCAATGATATACATCATCATATTTTTCTTGGGGGGGAAAAAAAAATTCATAGATTTTTTGAACTCTCATTTTGATTATAATTGTGCCATAAATAGTTCATCAGGAAATTTTTTGTATTAAATTGTAAGTTTTATAAAATTGAGCATGAAGTATAGTGGGGTGAGATTAAATTTAAGATACATTTTTTGGTTGTGTAACAGGCCTATGCCCCCCCCCCCTTCAAATCATTAATATTACGGGTTGGTTGAGGATCCTTACCTTAAGTAATTAAAAAAAAAAAACAACATGCATTATATTTAACCCTATTCCTGCTGGGGGGGGGGGGGGCAATTTGGCCCCCCCTGTAGTTTTTCTGACATTTCTTACATACCCAAAGCCCTCCCTTTAGGCCTAAACCGGGCTTTAATACTAACTGCCTGAGTCCTCAGGCACACTGCCTGAATGACTGCTTTTTCCTGTAACAAACTAAATCTTTGTTTTGACCCACTTCCACTTGTCAGATTTTGATAAAATTTAGCTTTTTGGAAAGCCTTTGACATAAGGAAACGGATTGCACAAGTTTTGCGAAAAAAATTGCAAATTTTTTGCAAACAACCTGTCAAAGGAAATTGCACATTTTTAGTTTTTCTTGATTAAAAAAAAGGTTATTTAAAATTTTTCAAAATTTTTTGCTTTTTTGAAATGGCATGGTCAATGTCTTTTCAAAAATGTATAATTTTTCATTTTTTGGACAAATTTTTTTTTGCAAACATTTTTACTATATAACTGGTTTTACTTTAAAATCCAAGCATGCGCACTTATACACACTTTAAAAACACGCATACTCACTGATTCGCAATTCGGACTTTACCATAGATTAAAGTCGTATGATTAAGAAACCCGTAGTTTCATTTACCATAGGTTAAATCAACACAGCCGAAGTTGCATAAATGACTAAGAAATCCAATCGAAAATCAACTATAGTAAGCCATTTCTACTAAATTTAAAAAACCTAAGGTTCGACCATAGGTACAACTCTAGTACTAAGAAATCAGCCTAGGTTGAAGTGTGTGTCAGTGAATTCTACGCGTGTGTAAACTCTGGCGAATTTCTATTGGCTAAGAGAAATTAGAAAGGAGCTATGATTGGTTGAAACCCCGGCAGAAGGAACATGGTCTTAGCACATATTTGTGTGTTTACACTCCGGTGCCCGGTGGTTCTAGACTGACGATTGAATTATGATTTATGAATTCTCCTATAGTCAAGTTTTGAAATATCAAAGGCTTACACCACGGGGAATGATTTACTAATGTATGATATGATGAGTTTCTGATATTTAAGTACAATAATCAAATATGCAGTTATATATATGCTTTCGGTACCATGTACATGGAGAAATTGACTCCTCAGAGGATTGTAATTGTAATTTCAAGTGGTTCTCCAATCTCCATGCAAAGATGGTATTGTCAAATTCAATCAGCTATCCTTGAAAACTTTATCTTATGAAAAGTGTGAAAGATATAGTCGTTTTTCTAGCTAGAGAGGTGTTTAACTTTGTTACTTCCTGTGTGTTTTACTTCATCAAGACATCGTGTAATTGAAAATAATCAGTTTTCAAAATTATAAACATTGATATTTTAGAAGTATATATTCATTGCTTCTAGATAAAGAGTGTATAAAAGTAGAGGAAGTTGAGAAGGTCTTCTCCGGTTCCAGGTTCCGACACAACTGAGTTGCGGATTTCATCTTCTATAATATCTAATTTATTATTGATCAGACTTATAAGGGTAGTGCTGTGAATCGGGCATTGCCATCTTTGAATTTATGATTACTTGAAATGATGTTTATACCATTTAAACCACGAATTTTTAAAACTTTGGAAAAGCACCAATGACAACAGAAAAATCGGAGAAATTGTTAATTTTTCAATGTTAGGGAAAGTTTGTACCTTCTTCAAAAATACGCGCAAAAAATTTGAATCACTCCCCTCCCCGCTCCTGGAAAATATCATGAAGGTGTAAGCAACAGCTAAGAATATTATAATCAACATCTTTAGAAGTAAATGAGAAAAATATTCACTAAGAAGTGTGATGAAAACATAATAAATTGACTCAGAGTCAGAGTGTCATAATTGATGAGGGTTGGCAGCATTTCATTAGAGGGGTATTTAGGCGAATATACATCAAGATCAATTAATCAATTTTTCCGAGGAAATTCCACTTTTTACATTTTTCATTTAAACAAAAACTCACGGGAAAGCACGAAAATGACTAATGCATTATTTTTTGAAACGTAAATATAGTACTGCGTCAATTATATACCCTCGCAATTTGGACACTTTAAGGCATATTTTTTCGAAAAATATCTGTGTATTTTTTCACGAAATTTGCGTCTTTCAAAAAGCCTTTTCTCGCGGAGTTTGCATTTTTTTCTACGAAAGGACTGCGTCAAAATGCACAATTTACGCACAAAATGTAAATATTGTATAAAGTGTAGACTGTAGAGAGCTAGGGATAATAAATGAACTGTCTAAAATACCCCATCAAGGGAAAAATTTTATTATATGGTCAAATAGATATTGATATTAATCCCCGCTTCATCACCGGAAAATTGAAGATTTAAAGGGACTGATCTATAGTGTATAGGGTGTAGGGTATAGGGTGTAGGGTATAGGGTGTAGGGTATAGGGTGTAGGGTATAGGGTGTAGGGTATAGGGTGTAGGGTATAGGGTGTAGGGTATAGGGAGGGTATAGGGTGTAGGGTATAGGGTGTAGGGTATAGGGTGTAGGGTATAGGGTGTAGGGTATAGGGTGTAGGGTATAGGGTGTAGGGTATAGACAACATTTTAAGTAAACTCCAATTAAAGAGTGGGAAATCAATCCCCCTACTGTTCTCATTAAACCTCTTTTTCATGGAATTGAGAAAAAAATGGTGGTTTCTATCTGAAAACTTCATTGGCTCATGGCAGAATAAACCCGTATGGTCACTTTTAGTATTAAAGGGGAGACCGGCTT